TGCGAACGTTTATGTTGAAAGTTCGTACTTGCCAGAAACAGTTCGTGATCAGCACACAACTGAAGGAGTCGATCTCCGTTGTCTGTGCGGCGAGCATCGACTCCGAATCGACCACCCAAATGTGATTCCGAGGAGCTCAGACGACCTACTTGAGCATTCAAATCGCCTGCAAGGATCACAATGTCAGTGCTTTTTGCCTGACGAATGGGCCCGGATAGCTCTCGATAGAAAGTATCCTTCTCCGCATCAGAAATACCATCTTTTGGCATGCGCCTGGCACCTTCAAAGTGCAAATTCATGCTTCAGAACGTGCCATCTGCGAACACATCCCTTAAAATTCAAGGAGAATCACTTTACATACCTCGGTAGTTGCATTAGCTCTATAAAAATGATCGCCGGTCTCAAATCCGTGGGCTATGAAACGCGTCTTGCGGTGCTGGACCCCTTTCCCTTGGAGTATCGTCCCCCCCGAGGGGACCTAATTCTCACTTATGCCCCCTTTGAACAAAGCCTGGCCAACAGGTTTTTCACCATTGACCCAACAAACACACGGCGGCGACATGGTAGGAAGTGGTTCGGCCATGTACACGCATGCCGATACATCATCCACCGAGGTAAGTGTCGCTCAATGTATCGCCTTCAAAGTGGAGCAAACTGTTAGGTGGATACCGTTTCACTTGGTAATTGGTAACTGGATATAAAAGGGATTACGAAGAGTTTGAGTGTCCTCGGTGTGGTCCACCTTCCATGGTGGGGCCCGTGAGGCCTCCCACTGCACTTAGCTGGGGACATTACAAGAGCTAGCATTCATGCTGTCAGTTTGTTTATAGATTGTGTGAATGAGCGTTTGGAGATGTAAACACCTGGGAATGCTTACAGCAAGCTAGCACTATGTGTGCCTCCCACCAACTCCTTTCTCTTTTTTCATTCAAAGCGTTACATGGTTAAACTCCAGGACAGCTCCAGTTTTAACACTGATGTTTTTGTCTCCGACGACGATTGACTTTACAAATCCGTCTGTTGGCTTGCATAAAATAACGCCAGAGAACATCGTGAGTGCTATGGCTACCAGGCTGATGCCCAGATGGCCTTCGTAAGAAGTTTTTGTGCCATTTTTTGTCATTTGTGGGGGCGAGATGGCCCGTGGTTAGAACACGAATTTACTGACCGGAAGGTCCGTGGTTCGAACCCGACCACTGCCTCTCGACTTCTCCTGTCTAGGCTTGGGCAACCTTGCAGTATCCAAGCCCTCGTGCTTCCTGCGGGTGGCATGGTAGCTAGGCACCGGAAGGGTGTTTCAGCTGAATGATGATGATGGTGATGATGATTTGTGTCCTTCTTGAAGACTGGGGTCATGATCGAAGAGCTCTACACCATTACGTTTTCTTTCAAATTTTTGCTGTTTGCCATTGTTTCACCAGCTTCCTTTAAAAGGGCAGGACGCAGACCATCCAAGTCGGGCGCTCGGAGAAAATACTATCTCACTCTATTTCTGTTGTCGGTGGCAAGCCGCTATCGATGTTCCTCCAGGTTCATTGGGTACTTCCAGAGATTGCACTGACGGATTGACCGCAGAGAACCATTTGGTGGGCGGGGGGAGGAATGGGTGGAGAGCGGTGAATTTGGGGTTCCGAGGGCGAATGACGATATTCGGTTTCCCAGTCCGAAGAGAGCCTGTTCAAGGTACCCCAACTTGATCCTTTAACCTAAAAGGCAATGGGAGAAATGTGGTAACCGGACAGTAACTGATGCAAACGTCTGACACCCAAGTCAGCAGGTAGTGAGGTTTTCTTGGGGATCCTGCCCGAAGCGGATGAGCCAATGGTCTGATCCACTCGCAAAGGGTTGACCTAGCAGCGGGTGCAAGGAGTAGGACAGAGACGTCTCACTCCTCTTCCTACTCTAAACACCAGATGCATCCAAAGACAGAGGAAGTGGCAGGTTGTAAATGCATTTCGATTGTATTGGGTGCTTAGCCGGCTGCCAAGGTCATTTGTCGGGTGAGCAGGGTATATGATTCTTAGAACCGACTTTTTCTAACCCGTCCTCCCTCGGGCAAAGTCAACATCGATGCTCCAATACATGTAGGGCGAAAGACCAAACTGCGTTCGCAGACTCATCACGCAGGAAGTGTAACTTTGCATTCAAACCGCCTCGTAGTATAGCTATTCGTAATATGGGAACTCACTGCTCTTCGTTTTGCCGTTCCCTTGTTGCCTTCCTGAAACTGTAGGAAGGGGTTCCGATCAGTGTATCTTGCAAGGTCACTCTAGCACTCAAGTCTGACTACCACAGTATGATGGACCCTTTTGGCTGAAGGATAAAAAACACCAAAAAATCCAAATACTCATACCGTGTGGTTTGGTGTGCCCTTTGTACCTTCGAAGCATTACTACAAGACTAGACGGTTGCTCCACTAACTTTGGTCATGTAACAAGAACCCTCAGAGATAGTGCACAGGTTTACCTACCTCGAGAGTTGCATCACGCCGGATGGCAACGTTGCCGACGAAGTGAACCCTAGTCTGTACTGCTTCCCTTTGACCTAGGAACCTCTGGAATTGACAAGGCTGTATCTTCTCTTTGAAAGACAGGGCTTACAAAAGAGCAGTGCGCCCGCTGCCTGCTCAGTGTAAAAGATGAAGGAACGCTCGTCGTTGAAAACCGGCGACTTTGAAACAGCACGTGTATCACGGGAACACTAAATCAGCGATGGTGTTACAAACGGTTTTTGGCGAAAAATCAGCTGTTCCTCCAGTCGCTGAGTTGATTGGGCTGCAACAACTGCACTGCATTGGACACGTGGTCCGTATGCCAGGTAATCAATTGCTTCGGGGTACCTCGTACGATGAGGTAAGTCACGAATGAAACGTAACACCACCACCACTACTACTGGTGCTACTACTACCTGGAGTCACACCATGAGAAAAACAAAGGACCCAATCTCTTCTGGTGCACGTCGTCTGCGAGTTTGTGGCATTAGAGCCCCACCACATTTGAATGAACGGCATATCGATGTTACGCAACTAGTGGCGGAGTTCAACCGACCCTCTGGTTCTAGTTAAACAACCCGTCCTTTATAGTTTTCCATTTTCTTTCTGTATGCCGTCAAGCCTGCAGTATCCACTACCACAAGATGCAGCGACCCAGACCACCCCACGGCTGTCAAGCAGAATTGAACCGAAGTCTCACTGAAGAGCATCATCACACCATCATCATTATCACCGACAGCAAGACATCGGTGTTCAACATCGATGTTTCGTGGACGTAAAGCCGTGATTTATTAAAAAGTCATAGTAAAGAAAAGAATAAACGTGGATGAGGGACTTAGTGCTAGCATACTACAGTCATTCCGGGGTGCACATACCTCCAAACACACATTCAGGCAATCTGGATAGATCACTACCGACATCGATTGGCAGCCATATCTTGCAGCGTTTCTAACCAGGCGCAGTGAGGATCACGCGGTCCCCATCCTAGAATTCGGGGGCACCGACAACCAAGCGTTTCGTAATTTATTCTGCACCCTTCTGACAAGTCAAGGGTTGGCCACCTCTCTGCTTCTGCCATTCTGAGTTGGGCATGAAAAACAGCACTCTCCTCGGTAGTCGATAGTTAGGCATACGCAACACATGTCCAATCCAAAGCAGCTTCTGGTGCTCGATATATTCTTCAATCAAATTACCCAGTGCACAACCGAAAACTCGCTTCCTAATTGCCTCGTTACGGATACGCCGACACCAACCCACACGAGCTATGGTTCTGAGACAACGATTGTCGAACACCTGAAGACGTCTCAGTCCCGCTGCTCGAACAAGCCGTCTCACAGTCATCCAACGAAACAGCCCGCACTGTAGCTTGACACCCACGTCCCTTGAGATTCAGGAATACACCACTCTGATGCCGTAAGTGTCTCAAATTAGCAAACGCAACTCGGGTCTTGCAGATGCGTGCATTAACCTCATCTGTCACACTACAGTCAAAACTAATGCAACTTCCAAGATACGTAAAACGCTTCACAAATTCCAGTGCCTCTCCGTGGATAGTAAGTGGCGCGTTCAGTGACAGAATGTCCAGGAGCATGATCATACACTTTGTGGGTGCAAAGTTCATACCAAAGGACACGATGACGTTGGTCAGTTCATCCAAAAACACATGCACCTTCTCCACTTCAAAGATGATAACGATGTCACCTGCATGTTCCATACCGACAGGGTTTTCTTCACAGGCTATCTGAACATCAGGGTTCTGGAGACCTTCCAGCTTTCGGTTCACGATTTCATCAATCACGAATTTAAACGGAAATGGGAAGACTGGGCATCACTGACTGGCATCAATTTCTGTTGTACAGGTGCGACGGACACCGATTTGAATTTGGGATCGCCGATGAGTGTACGGAAAAACCGTTCAACTGTGGCAACTTTTCACTGCCCATCTACCATACCACCCGAGTGATGTACGAGGGCCGGGACACTGCCAGTTTCCACAAACCTA